GGTAACAAAAACAAAGCAAATAAAGGAACTGAGTGGAGGTACTGTATAGTTTCCCCAATGTGTCAGCTACAGAGGCAGGCCTAAGTAATTAAGTAAAAAGTAATTACTTGTACCTCGTAACATAATCTCTTCTTCAGGTGAATTGTTGTCTTTATCTTTTTCTCCGGTACTTAACTCTGAAATTTAAATTTCATTGAGTTTATATCGCTCTAATAGATGTCAATGAATAGTACAATGTGAAAAATTACCTCTTCTGTGTCTCCATCTAAACACTAGACATCCTATACCGAGAAAAAGCACTATAGTGACGATTAGACTAGAAATTATTATTATTATTATTGACGTGAATGGAATTGCATTGGATGTTTTCTCGGAAGATGAGGTATCATTGGCAGATGCACTGTCCTTTGTAGTTATTTCTATCGTTAAAGGAAGAGTAAATAAGGTCCTGCAAAAGAATAGGATATATATAGCTAATTTTTTAATTGTAAGATTAGTTGATAATCATTGATAATCACTGGCTTAATAATTCTAGCAGTATATTAAAGGTTTCCGTACGCACGTGCTAGATTTCAGTACATTGGATGAAACATTATGGAAACACCCAGGATCTGTTTTAACCAAAAAAAAAAAAGAAGCATTTTTGTTATATGACACTATAGCTCACAGGTATTTCTTTCAGTTGGAATGAAATTTACATATCTCCATACATCTAATAATTCTCTGCATAAAATGTAGTTGGTTACAGCTTGAAATATAAATATTATTACTATTTTAAGAATAAAATAATGTCAATTATAATAATCTTATCATAGTCAATTTGAACAGTATTACAAAGATATTTAATCATTATAAACTGTTTAACAATTTCATTGTCAAGTATTTTATTTCAAATGTAGACATACAGACGTAAACAGCATTAGACCAGTACGTTGTAGTCGGGCAGTTGTTCTCATTAGATTTGCATTGATAAACATCTATTCGGCGAGCTTTAAAATTAAACTCTGGACACATACCTTGAAAAAAAAATATAAAAGTAATCATCATCAATTAAATTGTGTATCTTATCTTTTCCTCTACCTCTAATTAATAAACAATAGTATTCCCCATACTTTGCTGTATCCAAACTTTTTTCAGAAGACATTGCTGTGTTATTTGCCCGTTTTCGTCCTTGAGGCAGTGATAGTAATTTGGGTCTTTGCATTGCAGAGCCATTGATGCCCTACCCCAATCTTCTGTGGATTCTGGACATTTCAGCACGCCTTCAGATACCATGAATTGCCACAGAATTGATACAAGTACTATTTGATAGGTGTGTTCCATGTTTACGCTGAAAATATTTCTTCTTAATTAAATATTCAAATGTCTACATGTATAAAAAATAATCAGAGGGTAGTATTCGATGACTAACGTACGTACTACGTCGTAATATTACAGATCTAGACGATTTCCAAATATGGGAAGACAAGAACTGAAAATTGCTATAAATATACATCATGTACACGTAATTATGTTTCTATCCAATCAAACAACCGCATTTTCATACACAAAACATATTTTAAAAGAACAAGAAAACATGTGCTTTTGTTTTTTTCCTCAAAAAGATTTTTTAACAAAACATCTTTAGAAGAAAGATGAAAGCTTTTGAAGAATAAGGTATTCCCCACATATTTACCATGAACAACCTTGACAATTTCATCTCGGTAATTAGAAATAATGGATGATACACAATGTAATTGTTTACGGAGTAAAAAATCACACCAGCTACACTGTAGTTCCTATCAAGTTCAATTACATTGTATAACATTTACCAGAATATATACTCCTGTATATGTTGGTAAATATAATTTTGTTAGCCATTCGATATATCATGGATTTCATAAGCGCCAAATACTACACTATGCAGACTTTTAATGGGCATAAGGAAAGGCGGAAAACGTGGAGAAAAGAGTTATACATGAATGCGTTTTATCCCAATATCTTACCTCGCATACCAGAAACTGTATGGACGGTTTTGTTATAAACACTCGAAAAATAATTAAGACGGTTATCCTTTCGATAAGATTTTCATGTCAGGCTCTAAAAACTGAAAATTTTCCGTATTTATATAAACTTTTTTAACTTTTTTAATCCGACTTAAAACGTTTTCTAAGCTTTCAAGTCGTGTTTGTTCACGGTAGAATTGTCATAAATACATGTATTATATTATTCCTAAATGTACATAAAGATTAGAAAAAAAATTGTTCCAAAAAAATCTTTTGAGCAAAAACTAGAAAACCACGTGTTTTATTTATTTTCTCACGTGTTTGTATAAATGCTGTTATCTAATTGGTCAGAAAGACTAGCAACTTATTTTCTGTGTATTTATAGTAATTCATGGTTATTGTTCTTGACTTTCTTATTTATAAATCGTCCAGACCTGTATAAATATATTTAGTTCTTCCTATAAATTATGCTCACATTTTTGCAGAAATGCGGTTCCATAACTAAATCTATCTTATCAAATAGCAACCGTTTTAGGTGCCATATATTTAAAATGCATAACAACTTGTCTAGCACAACTGAGAAACCTGATATATCGGTTTCATTTGATTCATTCGATTCAAATTGGATCTTAACTGATATTTTCTATAAATTGGTGGAAATTGCACCATAAAGTATATTTCTTTCACTACTAAGTAAATGCGTAATTTTTTTTGCAAGACACGACATGTTAAAGACTGTGATACTGGTATATTTTGATTAATTTTCCAGTTGTCAGTTGACCTGGATTTGAGCGGATAAAAATAACTGTTGGACCACTTACCTTTAAATCAAAAGGATTTTAACAAGTGACCGCTGATCCGACCTTTTTTCTCGTAATTGTTAGCTCCTTTCGATCCTCTAGGTCTGCCATTAAATCAATGTTATTGTTGGGTATTTTTAAACTTCGAACTATCCGGAATAACGGCGAACATCATAAATTCTACTGAATACTTATCGTAATGATAGCTCGTTCCGTTCTAAAATTCATAGTCCTTTTTAATTAAGCCTCCATATAATATAATGATAATAATATATTTCTAACATTATAGTTCCTAGCAAAGATTCATTAAACATGATTAAACATGGTTTTCTAAATCACATGCATGAAATGCATTAAATACCGCGATAAAGGGCTTCAATTTTTTAAAACTGCACTCAGTTTCATTGCGTAATTAGGGTTTCTAGCTCTCCTGACCTACAGACTGAAGTAAGTTTCTTATCGAAAAGTGTCTGATGTTCTTCCGACTGTCTGGCGGTCGTCTAACCCATTTGTTTCTTTGTTCTTAATCGTTACTCTAGAGATTTTTTCACTCATATGGAGAGCGAACATGTAGTACTACGTACGACATGGGACATAGGTTTATATGGTCTCATCCGAAGGATCGGTCTCCACGACGCTAGGAGCAGCTCCTTACTTCACAACTCTAGACCAGACGGTTTAACTACTGCGCCACGCAGGCTAACATGTGTTATCTGTAATGTTTCTTTTTATTTTATACAAAATCTTCAAAATCCCTGAGCTATTTCAATCAAACGTCCTTAAAGCGATCTTGGGAAACAGGGATTTTAGGTTGTTGACATGAGGATATATCCTAAGGGATGACAATTAAGAGTTTAAGGTCGAGATTTTTAATCGTACGGTTTTCACAGGGAAGGGGAGGGGCTTAATACTATACATTCGTGGTACCCCGCAGCATTATACAAATGTATATTATACTGACAGGATCTCAGTATTCGCCCCGTATTCCAGCATAATATGCTAAATGCTGCATCTTAATGCTGATGTCAGCCCTCGAAATTTTGAGCATTTAAACAAACAGCAAAGGGAACAACACATACCACCTCAAGTTAAAAGGATTAAAATTTCCTAAATTGTATGCAAAAAAAAACACTGTAAAGATCAGAAGCTTGATCTTTTGCGACCATCTAGATTATTTTATATATTTTATAAGAAAAGTGAATTAGAAAGTTTCGTCATCAGGGACGATGTGCATTTAAGTAAATAATTATATTATTACTGGAAATATTGTGCCTGTTGTTGAGTTGTGATTTTTACTTTATCACTACGTTTCTTTCCGCAATGCTTAAGCCATTCTTGAATTTTATCTGGACTCAAACTTTCCAACACCTCCCTTGAAAACAAATTTTCTTGTTAAAAAATCTTCCAGCGTCCAGGAGGCAGTTTTCTGTCTTAGAAGCCTAAGCAATCTGTAAACTATGCAAACTTAGAACAGGCTTTCAATAAACATTCTGTACTAGTAGGTTAACCAAACTGTTCAGTGGTGTTGCTGTGGCCACACTCTGTTGATCTGAGGTCTTTGGTGTCTTTATTTGGGGTGTTGTGGGGTCAAAACAATGACATTAATAATCTTCAGGTAATAATTTCAGCATTTCGTATTCAACCATAAACGGTCTTGATGTTCTGTGCAGTTCAGGTACAGGTAATGCTGTGGATGACATAATTGTGAAACATTCATGAAATTTACGTAATCTCCTGAAGCTATATCATGTTCTGCTGATTTCACACTTGGTCTGTCATATTTTTTGCAAACATTGGGTGTTTCTTGTTAATGCTATATGTTTTATAGGTTATATATATGGTGCGTAGCATTAAAACCTGCTTCCAATCGCCCATTTTTCCTCTTTGTGCTATGCAACCTTCAGATGCATCATTTTTAGATAGCGTCAATTTTAGAAACCAGAATCAAAATATCGAGAACCACTTATTTTGATAGTCTTTTTGTGCCCGAAGGAATGGCATCAGAAATCAACAAATGAAAATGGAGATCAAACATTTTTGAACATTTTGCTAAATCAGGTTTTTTTGTCTGTGGGATTTGTAGAATAGCTAAAAAGTTAACAATTGCGTTTAAATAATGCATTTTACTTGAATGAATCATATCCATCTTTTTAAAAATTATTTTACAAAACCATTTATATTTTTCAGTATACTGTTCCGACTATGCGTTTTTTTTAAAGAGTATTTGAATCTTTGTCAATTACAAATGTTTCTGAAGACGTCTGTCACCTTTCTCCATACAAAAAAACACAAAAGCTTTATTGCTTTGACATCCCTAAAAGTTACTGTAGTTTCATAAACAATTTAAGATTTGTTTCTGTTTGAATTGAAAAACTGAACGGCATTCCTAACAATTCTTAGAGAATATGTAGACAGTAAAAAGGAAATAGAGATGAAAAGAACATTTTATACTTTATTCTTCTTAGTCCCTTTTATTGAAATCGGCTTATCATGCAAATTATACAAAGTAAGAATAGCCTAAGATGCTTTAATTTAAAACATGGATCATTTGCTGTTTCAGTGAAGAATGGTCTGTAAGCTTTATTTATAAAATTGGGTATTTCCAAATCAAACTTTGTACCGCTATTCTTGGCATCATATACTACCTCTGACAGCATTTATTGGATAGTAGTCATATCAGCCCTCTGTGAATCAGTTGAAAATAAATCAAGAAATATAAAAAGTTTCTCATTTACCTTTGTTTTCCATTTTTCAAAAGTATTTTGGTATACAGGACATGTATTAAAATCTTCTTTTATCGTTTCAGAGATTTTATCTTGACCCACATCCCTATATTTAATTAAAAGTGTACTAATAATATTTTGCCCTTTGTGTCACTAGTGAAAGACATCTCTCCAAAATCTGCCATATCTTCACATGATCTCAAGCGACCTGAAAAGAAAAACCCGAAATAAAGTAAGAATACTGACATAACTATCTTGCTGCTTATGGTCTCTATTGCTACATGTTTACGTCTCATTGTATTCAAGTACATAGTATGTTCTTTAGTGCAATTAAAAGATGACGCGAATAAAAGTCGGTTTACAGTACACTCTAAATCACACTTAAAGATAACTTGTGATATGCAAAGGATCGATTCAATGACAATTATAAAGGGAACTTTTTAAATTTTCTTAGTACTTACAAGTAAACTCTTCTTGACTTTCAATTCTTTTCAGGTTGTATAATTTTTTTCTTTCATCAAGTTGGTAGTGTTCGTCTCGATTCAAAGGAAAAAATAGTTTATTTATCTAGAAACAAGATGTGTTTGTAAAACACTGATGCCCCCGTAGAAGAGCTTATGGTAGAGTTACAATTTCTCAAATGCCAGTCTATGGTCAAGGAGAAAAGGTCAAAATGTTTGATACCCAAGGGAAGGTATTGTACTTTATTCTTACTATCAAAAGTTTTAGGAAAGAATAATGTTTTTGTGGACACGCAAACAGTGAGATGGATGCAAAATACATCCATCAAACTTTGACTACAAGAGCATAAAAAG